GTGAGGCTTACTCTTGGCCTCCATAGGTAGGAATTGCTGCTGCCTTGGGGCCTTCTTGGTACTTGCCAGGAGGTGATGCGCCTGAGGACAGAATTGTACAGAATTTGGGGGCCAAACTATGTTGCTGGTTGCTGTCTTCATGTTATGCAGTGTCAGGTACCAGGTGATGTGTCTGGTTCTGCTAGGAGGGGTTGACTCTCTCCTTGTGACTGCCCCATGCTCTCTTTGCTCCTCTCTGACTCCAGCATGGTCCTTCCAGCTGTCATAACACTCTGCATGCCTTCAAAGGATCCCAGAGCCACTCCTTCATCTGAGATTTCTCCCTGTCTACACAGCCTGTGACCATTCCAGACACAAAACTCTAGTGATGCAGCTCTGTCCCATAGGGCAGCCCTGACACCACTAAGGGCTCTGGAACACCTCTTTTCTACAGAGCTGAATTGCTAGAGATTAATCCATCAGCCATCTCCCAGCCATCTCAGTCAGTCAGTCCAAGGAATACAAGGCACGACACAGACCTCATGGCACCAAAGGACTGCATGCAAAAGGCATTTGATGCATAGAGAGCCTTCAGGTTCATGCTTTCAATTTTTTGTGCGTTTATGAAAATGAAAATATTCTGTAACGTTTAAGCAGTGTTTTAGTGTGTTTTCTTCCCTCCCACCCCCTCCCCTTTTTTAATAGCTATTCACTATAGTTAGTGGAAGCTGTAAAACAGTTCAGCTTATCCCTAAGTAGATGCCTGGAGCTTTCTTCCCTACAGCTCTTAAGTTGAAAACCTTTGCAAACTCCACTGACAGTACTGGCTGGGAGTTCAAATCAGCCCACTCATAGGTATTTAGAGTCATCTGAAATGCGCTAGGTCTAAGACACTGACGGAAGGGCTGGCAAATATGGTAAAGGACCTATGGTAATTAGATGCCTCTGTGTGTGGACAACTAGATCACGCAGTGATCTCATCCTTCTGCTGCATTCCCAAACACTCTCCTATGCATGGTATCTGGGAACATTGGTCTTCTTGAGACTCTGGGAGCACAGGACTGTGCCAGAGGAAGGATGCTGCCTGGAGGTTAGGGTGTTGGTCAGAGACTGGTCGTAGGTCATCTCCTTTGATAGTGCAGGCTCTAAGTGATGTAGCCAACACTGTACACCCCAAAACAATTGCCTGGAAGCAGCAGTAAAGGCCTTTGCTCAGGCAGTGAGGGCAGCTGGCTCTCATCTCTGTGGACCAAATTCTTGCAAGGACTAGCAAACCATCAGGTCAGACTCTTTCCTGCTCAGAAGACTGGCAGTGCCCTTGCTGGAGGGTGCCAGTCTCTGTACCACTGCCTACACCCCCAACCACCTGGGGGCAATTCATACTGCAAGATTCTGCTTCAGTGGGATTGCTAAAAACTGGGAAGGGAATATGGGCAGCCAGGTAGGACCCCAATAGATAGTACTTGCAATATACTGATAGGGACTGTGTAGTCAGGTTAGTACTGTTCATGAAATAATTCCATGTACACAGAAAATAGATAGGTAGCCAACCGGAGGGAAACGGAATGAGTGATGTGTTAAAAATGGTTGCTGTGATGGCTGAAAAACATGAACAGCTCCAAGTCTGCAGGAGAGCAGAGGTATGCAGGAAACAGGGAATGCACGCTGAGTTACAGAGGCCTGGCAAATGCAGGATTAGACTGCCCAGAGAGGATTAATCAGGAAGCTAGAGAACTAACAGATGGCTTGCATGACATGTGGGAAACATCTGTGTGCCTAGGGAAATGAAGAACATGTAAAAAGCCCAAACAATCCAAAAGCTCAGGTAGCTAATAACACTTGCATTGAACTGGAGACGGGACTCTCACCAAGTCTATAGCTGTGATTTGTATAGATGAGTGTTTAGGGTTTGTGGAAGTGTTTCCTCTGAGTGGTAGTTCTTAGTGTTAACCTGGGATTTACTTTGTGAATAAACAATTCATAATCCAGTGGAGGGGGATGTCAGGAATTTTTGATCAATGCCTGCATGGATGTGGGTTGGTCCCAGACTGTGTTGCACTATGAGGAAAAATGACCCCTGCCCAGGGGTAGCTTATCTGCCTCATTTCAAATGTCTAGTTGGGATGAGATGAGTTGAGTTGTGGCCAGGAATTGCCTGATTCGCTCTGCCTATGGATGGATGCAAGCATCTAATGTAGACATCCCTAGATCACATATAGACACATACATTTTAGTGTCTTTATCTGATAACTGGGTAAGACTACCTTAATAAACTGGAGCAAACAGTTTTAGTTCCTTACAGGCAGGACCTGCTTGAAGGGAAGGTTATAATCAAAATCCTGTTATGGGCAAAAAATAAACACACCTTATATGTAAAGCCAAAAATATATTAGTACAGCAAAATCTTATCAGTCTAATCAAAGAATCACTATTAGTCCAGATCTATTTATTACAGAAAAAGAAAGAAAAAGAAAGTAAAGAAATGAACCTACTATACAGAAAAAGTCTCAACAATAACAATACAGTTAAAATTGTTATTCACACACTTCGTGGTTTCTACCACTTTTCCTGGTGTTATGGTCACTTTTCCATTGCCCCCTGGATCTGAAGGTTGATGGCACCAGTCTTTCACCTGGGGCTATTTTTATATTTTTTCTGACCTACTGTTACACTTTGATCTTTCCTTATTGGTCTGCCACTCAATATTACATCCATTCAAATTTACTGTATATGGTACTTTTTTATCTGTGTTGGGTACCCATTCTTTGTTACCCTTAAAACTGCTTTTGCCCACATCCAGGTCTGCATGCTGACCATTGATGGGTTGTTTATAGCTTTTATGTTTCCGGTACCAGCCTGGGCCCCATCTCTTATCTTCCCATGCCTGTACTCTACACAGAGTTGTATGTTCCCACTTTTCAAGGCCTCTGCTATTATAGCAGGCCTGTGTTTCTCTCTGGTTTTGAGATTCCCAAGACTTACCTCAACATTCAAGATAGACTAGAGAATAAGGGAGAGGGCTCAGTTAGCTGTTCTGCATACCCTGTTTGGAGGTGGGGGAGTCACCAATGGCTCTCTTCCCTTGTTTTCACACCAGACAATAAAGCAGCTCCTAGAGGGCTGCTTAGTTCTGCCTGGCTGTAGGAACCAGCACAAACTGCCCTGTGAGTCTGAAGGTGAAAGTGCAGCATGAGTTATACATGCCTATGCTCCAGATCTCAGGTCTCTGCACTGGGAAATCAGAGGTGTCAACTCCTTCCTGCTTCACTTCTGTCTTCTGCTGCAGCCATTCCCATGTCAGAGGAAGACAAGAAAGACGGTAAAAGCTAAACCACTGATTAGAAGAAATTGAGGGCTGAGGTTTAACATTGGATCTACTCCTTCATTACAATGAATCATGTCTCCCAGAAAATGCTAGATGTGGTTCAGATGATACTGTACTCCAGGGGCTGCTTCCAAAGGGTAGTAGTGATTGTAGCAGTGCTGGATCTTTCCCTCTTATAGAGTTTCCCAACACTATCTCAGCAGATCTTGTACCCTCAAGTACCCTGGTCCTCATGCCACCATCTCGGGCATGCAACACACAGTCTTTTTTGTGCTGCAGAACTGCACAGCGGGGGGCTGCAAGACACTATTTTTCAGGCTCTTTGAAATGAACATACACACACACACACACACACACACACACAAACAAATGAATAATTCTTTCTTAAGTCACAGGGGCAGCCCATCCTAACCTGTGACTCCCTTGGTCCTGCTCTCTGCTAATGAACTGAGTGTCAGGGTATTGGAGAGGTCCCTCTCTAACATGCAGATGAGATCTGCAAAGTTAGCTCTTCTTTGTTCTTGTTCCTAAAGCTATGGTTCTCACTCACTTTGAAACTGGGTTATTCTCCACTTACCTCAACCCTGAAAAGCACAGTTCCCTTTTTAGCAATTTCCCAGCATTGCCTAGAGGAGTTCAGTTTCAGGGTCCCCACAGATGGCTGGGTAGCAACCCTGTGCCATTGTAGAGCTTCCTGCTCCCTCATTTACTCAGCTAAGGAGCTGTTCTGGGAACCTCCTTGAATTGCTCCAGTTTGATGTGAACTGGATGCTTGGCCAGGGTGGTTAAGCTGACTCCCTGCATGGGGCTGGGAGGTGAGATGGGAGAGCCATCCAATAGCCTGGTGCAAGTGGTAGTCTATCTGCCACACAACAGCTCCCTGGCTGCTAAGTTTGAACATATCCCTACATTGCCCATCCAACAGTTCACATACTTGTATTTGAAGCCCACAGGTGTGGCAGGTAAGCTTTAATGGTGGGATACAGCTCTCTTAGTAGCAGCAATGGGATCTGGATAGCTTAACATATGTGTCTAGTGGCACTGAGGCATGTTAGGGTACCTTGCAAACAGGAATTCACATGTCTGCATGTGTGTCTAGGACATCTGAGGTAAGGGCATGTAAATGCGTTGCATTTTACAGCCTGCCCTTGCAGTCCCCTCTAGAGTCCTCTGCAAATGGGCCGGGGCGGGGGGTCATTCCAGTCCATGCCTTCTGGTCCTAGGACACTGAAGCTTCTGACTCACTTTGCTTTCATCATGGGGTAATTAATAAGGGAACCAGAGACACTTCTTTCTGGGAAATAAATTTCTGCATTTCCTGAGTATCTTTGCAGCAAGAATCACGTGGGAAGGGGTTCCTTTAAGAGGCCCATGGGGGAGATTTAGGGACACCCAAGAATAGGCTGATGAAGGGGTGGGGTCAGTGTCTGGGCAGGCCCAGAGCTGAGAGAACTTTACTTTATATCCTGCTTCCATACTCCCTGACCTCTCTGCTCTCCACAGTCATGACCATGACAATGAGCACAGCTTGAGTCTCTCCCCAGGACCATCTCCTGTCCCCTCCCAGCCATGCAGCCTCCTGGTGGGCCAGGGCACGGCCCCTGCAGGGTCTGCAACAACACTAGGGGCTGCTTGGCTCTCTGTGCAGGATCCAGAACTACAAAGATCCTTGTCCTCTTGGCAGGGCTCTGGGGTGAGTGACTTTTTATCTCTCTTTCAGCTTCCCTCCCCCTGCCAGTGGCTGGTGTTTCCCACAGGGCCTCCAGGATACATTACACCTAAAGTCCAGGGAGGGTACTAGGAGTCCTTTAGACTGAGGTCCTACAGCTGGTTGTGGGAAGAGGAGCATCAGGTATATTGCAGCAGGGACTCCTGTGGTTATTCTTGGATTTCAGAGTGCATGAAGACTTTTTCTCATAACCATCACCTTAACAGCTACATTCAGACCTGTGTCCTCTGCGCAAACAGCAGTTCTAGTCAATTGTACAAGGCTGTAAGCCAACAGCCTCTACCCTTCGCTTATCATTTCTGAAGTTATATAATTGCCAGTATCAGGGCATTTGCAGTAAAAAAAATAAAGCTGTGAGCTGGCACCATCTGGCTTATGGTGCATGGATTTCCCAGACTCAAATTATTTCCTGAGTTTTTTTCTTTCTTACACAGATAGTTTGTAATTGATTAGTTCATAGATGTGAGGGAGGATAAGAGACTTAATGCTTCAGATTAGTGGAGGAAGAAATCGAGGTGCAAAGGCTGAGAGGTAGCACAGGGTGAGTCTATATTAAAAGCAGTGCACCAGCTGTGGTGAGCTAACCATGGAGATGACAGATGTTGCGACATGCTAAGCTCAGCCATTTGGAAAGCCTTCAAGTGCTCAAATGCAGATATCTATGCTGGATGGCCATTATAGTCACTAGAAGTGTTAGCACAGAAAAATGAACCCTATGAGAAGATCCTGACGGCTTCTCTGACCGTGCGTTCCAGCCTTGTAGAGAACAGCTCCCAGTGCTCTCCCTGGGAGGTGCAAGCAGGTTTGGAGACTGCAACACAGCCACAGGATGGTGTTTCTGAGAATGCATGTCCCTGAATAATACAATGATTTCCTGCCATCTAGCTATACGTTTGTGCAGTGCAATGACATCAAATTCATTGTGCACCATGGCTGGCTCTGAATGCTTTCCTTTTATTGTACCCAGCTATTCAGTTCTTCAAAATCATTGTTTTTGTGTTCTGCAGCAGCCAAAAAGAACCCAACAAAAATGTGGATACCATGAGAAAGGAGTTGAGAACAAGAGAGGGGGTGTAATTTACTGCTATGTAAAACTGTTGCTTCCATGTCTTTAGTATTGTGTGTCATGCTGGTCATTCTATCTCAGGGAGGATGCCCTGGAATTAGAGACAGTCCAGAGAGTACATAATGAGCTGTGAGCATCTGGAAGTTGCTACCTCAGGAGACTGTGGGGACTGATGTTGTCAATGAATTCAAAGAGGAATTAGGCAAAAGCATGAATAACGTGTCTAAAATCAAATACTAAAGGGAACATCCTTAACAAGAAGTCTAGATGTTGGGAAGCAAGAAGGCAATGAGCCACAGGAGGTGGCCTAGTTTGCATGATCTCTCTTGACTACATCTCCTGTGCCACTGATGGAGACAGACTAATGACTAATTTGGACTGACCATTTCTCTGACCCAGTGGGAAATTTTGCATGATCTTAAATCATGCAGAGTTAAATAACACTTGGCCAAAATGTGCATCCCCCAATGCCAAACTTGTTTCTGTGTCTGTTTCACAGAATCCTCGATATGAACCTCTTTTCACTTGCACTGAAAAAATGCAGCGAGTGTAGGGTATAACAGGAACACACATTATTTTTCTTGCTTTTACTCGGTTGCAAATGTTAGCTGCTGTGACAGCAATGTACAAGAGGCAATGCTGAAAGTGGAGCACAGGTCTGTTTTACTCTGTGTTCTGCATTGTCTCAATATCCAAAAAGTTTACAAAGAAGTTGTTTCCCCTGGAGATAAGGTTCCCCTCAGCTAGACTTAACAGGGACTGCTCCTCCTTGCAGAGCTGAGCTGCATGGTGCAAAGCATGGGGTTTTCTCAGCGTGCCCATCTTTGCCCCTGCCCCTTTGAAGATGTTTAGGCTTGAGATACGAGAAGGGATACGTGTGTGAAGTTTTCACTTCATCCTGGTGGTCTCAGAGGGAGGTCTCAGAGGAAGGGACATGTTGGAGGGATGTAAGGGTGTTGGTAGGACCTTACAGCTTGCCTTTCCTTCCTTGCAGCTTCCTTCCAAGGTCTGCTGGTGGCAGGTCAGTATTGCTAGTGGTGAGCGCACAAACACATGCTAAACCCTTCCAAGTCTGTAGGATGAGGCAATACGGAGAGTAGAGCACAAGTTTGTTTTTTGAGTTGTGAGTGATTCATTGTGAGTAGCAGAATAAAGCTTAGGCAGTCACTTCTTAATAATCTGGCTGTTGTCAGCTACTCTCAGACTAGGCAGTAGTCAACAACCAGGGCATTTTGGTGGGAAGGGTCCCCAGGGCTCTCCTGTCACCCCTGCCACTTGCAGCACAACTATCTCTAGCACTAGATCAGGCAGGCTGTGGCTTTATCCAGCCACACCTTTCACATGGATGAAGATCGATGACCTCTCTGGGGATTTTCCCCAGGGTTGCACCCCCTTTCCTGGAGATGCTCCCCATTTTCCAACATGAGCCTCTGTAGGTGCAATTCATAGCCACTCACCCTTGTTATATCACCTGGAACCCCAAAAAAGCCCACAGATGTAACCCCATAGCAGAAGGAGCTAGGCTGCAGCAAAATTAAGGAACATCTGTGCAAGCAGAGATGACTTCTGTGCAAGGCAGCGTTCATCAAGAAATAACACCTTTCAGAGGCTGTAAGTACCTAACATGCCGGAATTTAATGACCTGTGACCTCCTTTGGGCTGTTCACAACCAGGTGCACTGCAAATGGATGTTTTGCGCCTAGCGAATGGGCCCAGTCGCTGTGCTGGGAGAGTAGAGATACTTCATAATGGCCAATGGGGAACTGTGTGTGATGATGACTGGGATCTAGAGGAGGCCAGAGTGGTGTGCCGGGAGCTGAGCTGCGGGGCGGCGCTGTCCGCCCCCGGCTCGGCTCACTTTGGCCAAGGATCTGGACAAATCTGGCTGGATGACGTGAACTGCATGGGGACAGAAGACGCCCTGTCCACGTGCAGGGCCAAGCCTTGGGGAGAGCATAACTGCAACCACGGAGAAGACGCTGGTGTAGTGTGCTCAGGTAAGGCCGGCTGGGTCTCAGCTAGCCCTCGGTGCTCTGTTGCATCGGGTGGCAGTCGGAGACTGTAGGCTTCTGGTGCCGTGTGTGGGTCGGGGCTGGTGCATGGCGCCAGGGCACGTTTCCCTGGCAATCGCACACGATGCTCTGGGCTGGGGACACAGACTGGGGAGTGCAAGAAGTGGGCTTGTGCCCTGCGCTGGGGTGAGCAGCCCTCACAGGCAGACAGTCAGCCCTGCCCGCAGTGCAAGACAATGCTACGCTGGGCTCTCCACGTGGAGGGCAGTGTGCAGGCACAGGGGGACAGATGTGGGAAGACTTTCAGCTTGTCCACCAGCTCTGCCCCGTCTCAGCGTCACTGGCGCTGCCCAAGGAGGGAGCTTGCAGGCCGGGAATGGCTGGTTGGGAACGGTGGCCAAGACAGCGGGCAGAAGCACTTGGGCTTTGGAAACATGGCCTTTTTCCCCCTTGGCTTATCTCCAGTGTCACCAGTGCCAGCGCTGGCTGCGCTCGCCAGGGGCATGGTCCAGGCTGCTGCACTGGGCGAGGGCAGGAGCTTTCCGGGTGGGTTGGAGCACCCTGTGTGTGTGCCGAGGGCTGGGGCTTTGCAGGGATATAGCACTGGTGTGCCTGCAGGTGGGCAGTGGCTCAGCTGCGTTACCCCACTCCAGCTCCCGTTGGCCTTGGGTCTGACCCTGAGGGTTGGGGGGGGATGCTATGTGCTCTGGGGTGGGTGCCGGCCTCTCCCAGAGCAGGGCCATGGAGAGCAGGTGCCCGCACGGTGTCATGGGAAGAGGCAGTGGTTGTGCGCTCAACGCCCCCGTGTCCTGACTACGCAGACCAAGGAGTCTGTGCTGATCCCACCTCCCAGACACAGGGATGCACTGGGATGGAGAGCAGGAGGCCAATGGAAAGGTGTGCGCTTCCCAAGCAGGCTGCTCTGCCCTTTCTTTCCCTGCCCTTATGCCTTAAGGCTGTCTGTTTCTCATTTGTAATTCAAATGCTATTTTCTCATTATATTGTAGAAATAGAATGACAATTGTCCCATATACCTTTTATAGTAGGAAATGGAAGAACTGTAATCTTTGTGGATGCAGGGCATGTACGATGTCAAATATCATAGCTATTCAGGGAAATGCATGAGAAACTTATTAGTCTTACAGTCAGTCTCCAATATTCTGTCTGTCACGCTGATTTCCAGAGCCGTTCCCTGAATCTTTTTGTGAGCCCCTAGCGAGATGGCAGGACCGTTCCCGGGGCCATGCGGCTGCATGTGCCTTCTGCCAGGCACGGGACCCTGTACACTGAGCACCTGTGGGGGGATTTTGTGGTGGTCAGGCCATCGGCATGCTGGTGCATTTGTGTCTTGCAGAGCCGACCCCGCTCCGCCTCGTGAATGGCTCCAACCGGTGCGCGGGGCGGGTGGAGGTGCTGCGCGAGCAGCAGTGGGGCACGGTGTGTGACGACGGCTGGGACCTACGGGATGCTGCAGTGGTGTGCCAGCAGCTGGGCTGCGGGCTGGCCCTCATGGCCTTGGGCTCGGCACGCTTTGGGCCTGGGTCTGGCCATATCTGGCTTGATGACGTGAACTGTGCCGGGACAGAGGCCTCGCTGGCAGAGTGCCGCGCCCGGCCCAGGGGAGCTCACAATTGCCACCATGGCGAAGATGCCGGCGTGATTTGTGCAGGTACCTGAGCAGGCTCGGCCCTGTGCAATTTCTGGGCCAGCGCTGAGGCTGGGGAGAGTGCTGCTGTGTCCCCAAGTCCCTGCAGAGGAGGACTGGGCTGGGCACAGCTCAGGGCAGGGTTTTGCTGTGCAGCAAGCTTTTCTGCCCGTCCCCTTTCTGCCTGTGCCTCTCCATCCTGGCTGCTGCAGCACTGCCAGGGCTCTGCAGCCGTGGGCCTGGAGTTGTCCACATGCCTGGGGCAGGCGGGGGGGAAGGCTGGTGTGCTATCTGGCTGGGGACGTGGCTGGCGCTGCACACACACCCACCTGCATTTCTGTGCCATGGGATAGCTCCTCATGGCTGGCCTGAAACACACAGGGGCTATGGGGTTCCCCTGCTTCCCACGGTTCCCTGCCATGCTGCCGCTCTGGCTGAGGCTGGGGGGCCTTGGGC